TCAATTTCCAAAGAAAAATGATAAATTCCCTAAACCAAACCCTAGATTTATGCAAGATCAAGAAACCGAGACCTGCTGGAAGAAACTGAAATTAACATTGTTACAAACATGAGAGGAGAGGATGCGACGTGAGACCTGCTGGAAGAAGGCGGAGACGGCGACGTGAGGCGGCGACGAGCGGCGGCGACGACAGACCTGTTGGAAGAAGGCGACGTGGGGGGAGGGGCTGGGATTTGAAGACCAGCGACGTGGGGGGAGGGGCTGTGAAGAAGAAGCGATGTGTGCTGTTGGTAGTTATGGAAGACCGACGAGGGGGGGGAAGACGGTGATGGAGGGGGGGAAGACGGTGATGGAGGGGGATGGATGTGAAGAAGGGAGGGCATAGTTGGAAAAATGAACATCTGAATGGTTTAGTGAGGTAGTGGATGCAAAATGGTTAAGAGGTTATTGTAACCATTAAGAGGGTTGTTTTTTTTTTTTGCCAAACGGACTTAACCTCTTACCGATTAAGAGGTTGGCTCTTAATGTAACCATTAAGAGCCAAACAAACAGCCCCTTAGACTTAGTCTTGTAAACTAGATCCCCTCTGGTTGGTCTAGCTTCTGGATGGCGTTGCTTCTGATTGTTTATTTGAACCTTAGAAAAATATTCCAATCCATCATAAAGGAAGATCTTTATGTTTAACCAGATGGTCTCTAATTGTAATTGAAACTCATTTTCTTTAAGTATTTAACATATTTTTGACCCAGAGTAGACAAACCAGAGGCTTTGGTTGACCATAGGGGCTCTGGTTGACTAGAGGGCCTTTGGTTGGCCTTGCTTTTGGTTGGTGTGTCCACAGGAGCTCTAGTCCTTACGAACCAGAGGAGCTCTCGTTAGTATTGTTCTGTATGATGCAAACTTCACCACAGGGTCTTTTTCAAAGATATTGAATATTTGAATAACTCTTAACTCAAGGTCTTAAGACTTCGTCTTCAGATTTGACACAGACGCTCTTCTAAGTTTAAATTCAACTTACTGATATAATTTCAATTCTAAATTCAAATTTATTCTAGGGTTAACTTCATTTTAACTAATTATTGATATAGTTTCATTTCTAAATTCAAGTCTAGATAGTCATTCTTCAGAGTTATACTTCAGAGTTATTCTAATAGTACAAGTCTGAAGTCATTCTTCAGAGTTATTTCAAGAGTACAAGTTTGAATTCATTCTTCATAGTTATTTCAAGAGTATAAGTCTAAAGAGTCATTTTAAAGAGTTAGCTCACCCGAACTCTGAAGTCTGCTTTTTCAGACTTAGCTCACCCGAACTCTAGAGTTTTCCTTTTCAGACTTAGTTCACCCGAACTCTAGAGTCTGAACTCTAAAATCTTCTTTTTCAGTCTTAGAAGTCTGAACTCTGAAGTCTTTTTTTAGACTTAGAAAAAGAAGTCTGAAGTCTTCTTTTTCAGACTTAGAAGTCTGAAGTTTTCTTTTTCAGACTTAGAAGTCTGAACTCAAAAGTCTTCTACAAGTCTGAAGAGTCATTCTTCAGAGTTAGCTCACCCGAATTCTGAAGTCTTTTTTTTTCAGACTTAGCTCACCCAAACTCTGAAATCTGAACTCTAAAGTCTTTTTTCAAACTTAGAAGCCTGAACTCAGATTTAGTGGGATTGATTTTATACTTCAAAGTTATTTCAAGAGTACAAGTATGAAGAGTCATTCTTCAGAGTTTTACTTCAAAGTTATTTCCAGAGTACAAGTCTGAAAAGTCGTTCTTCAGAGTTAGCTCACCAGAACTCTGAACTCTTCTTTTCCAGATGGAGCACCTCTGCATAGTGCATGCAGAGCTCTGGCTTGCCTATACAGAGCTCTGAAGTCTAAAGAGTTTTACTTCAGAGTTATTTCAAGAGTACAAGTCTGAAGTCATTTTTCAGAGTTATTTCAAGAGTACAAGTCTGAAGAGTTATTCTAAATTTACTTCTAAGTTTAAATCTAATTTATTGATATAGTTTCATTTCTAAATTTAATTTTATTCTAGGGTTAACTTCATTTTAACTAATTATTGATATAGTTTCATTTCATTCAAGTCTGAAGAGTCATTTTTCAGAGTTATTCTTCATTGTTATACTTCAGAATTATTTCAAAAGTACAAGTCTGAAGTAGCATCGTACTTTCAATGATCATTCATATCTGTAAGATAAGTTCTTGACATGATTTAATTTTTTCAAGCACCCCGTGTAATACACGGGATCGAACCTAGTATATATATATATATATATATATATAGATTTTGATTTTGACTTTTATAGTAAGAGGGAAGATGAAAACAACCAACCCATAAGCCACATTTCAAGATTTGATGAATACTCAAAGCTCATTAAGCCATCTTATTGTCCTTTGGTTGTTCCTTTAATATATATATATATACACACACACACACATATATATATATATATATTGATTCAATCTCTCATCAAAGTGGGATATCTCAAACTTAACCACAATTCACCAACACTTCAATACGCAATTCTCATGATACACCTAATTACCTCTTGGTTCTTATTATAGATATATATATATATATATATATATTGATGATTGTAAACATAATTCATTTTTATTTTTATATAATAAGATTTGTTTTGTAAAAATAGGATCATCCAAGTACGATAACCTTATGAGTCAACAAGCCTCATGAGTTGACACAATTAATCTCAACCTTTTTCTTATACACATCTCCTTATTCCAATCTTTCAATCTCTCACCGATGTGGGATATCCAGACTTAACCACAATTCACCAACACCTCAATACTCAATTCTCATTATGCCACCTCGAAACTCTTGATTCTTCCTTTAATATATTTATAGATTAGTTGTCTTTTTGGATATCCTCTAGTATGCTATTCAAATCATGATAGGGTAAGGAACCTTGGGTAAGGTCATTAGGGTTAAGGTTTTGAGGGAGAAAAATTCGTCCGGATCTTGGGAGACCACCTACTTCTCGAAGTGTAGGAACTAGGAACTATCGTGTGTTTTTCTTCATTATTAATAAGAATTTTTACCCCGATTCTTATCAGAGACCTTTGAAGGTAGCACTCATTTATACAGAGAACAGCAGATATAAGACATTATGATGATTGCATAAAGATCCATGGATGCAAAACCGAATTTCTGTTATTAGTCGCAGCTTTCATTTAAGAATTAGCCCGACAATCTCATCTGGATGAATTTCCTTTCATTTGTAAGAAATATAACCATGTATAATTGCAATGTGCATCTACTTGATTGCCATTTAAAGGTTAAGTGGCAAATTAGAAGGAAACTTTCAAAATTAAAAAAAAATCCGATACGTATCTGGATGTCCCCATTGTGTTTAAAGCTAAATTGTCTTCTATTATTTATTTGTATGTTAATCATGTATATCTCAAGACAAAACTGGTTCCATTTTAACCTAATGCTAAACAAGAAACCATTTAGTTTTATGCATGTTGATTCTAAAGGTCATGAACGATTCAGTGAAAACTTAAAAACTAAAATTCTATCAGAGGGAGACCAGAGGTGCATTGAAGGAGAAACAATGATGGGAAATGATTTACCACATGCTCAGTCACAGCTACTTCAGATGTTGCATCTAGAGGCTTCCTTTCTTCTGTAGTCTCCATCTTTTCCTGCATGCTTTCAGATTCTATGCAATTATGTAAAGCAGCTGCTGCTGGAACCCTTGGTGGCTCTGATTGAGGCTCATGATCAGAGAACCAGCCATAACTGGAAAGAACAGAACGTTAAGTTTAAGGTTTAATTATATACTCAATGGCAGGGGAAAAAGAATTAAGCTCAAACCTTAAGCGAAATATGGCAGGACTTCCTACAGCTCTATAAACATCTCCTGCGCTAATAACAGTGTCCTTTATTGTCCATCTTCTGCTCATAGCTCGGTGTCTCAGCGGTGCATCATAAGGCAAAAGCATCGTCTCCCCTATAGCAATGCTCGAGCCACCCCATTTTGTATGGATATGTTTAATAACAGAGGATATCTTTTTCCTGGCCCTGAGTGTGAGTTCTAGGAATGGATTAAGACCATCCTATGGAAAAGTTGATATCAATAATGTAAACATAATTAGTTCTAGTTCAGAATTCAGATTCATCAAATGAAAACATTGCTCAATTCACTACCTTCCTAAACTCACCTTCTCTAACCCTATTCGAGTAACTTCGTTAACCGGAAAAAGCTGCAGCTTAATCTTGGTCAAAGGGTCAACTTTTCCATGCTTCAACTCCAGTGGTGTTGCTTCTTTTCTGGTTTCTATACATGATTCACTTACTGAAAAATCACGACTGAGTACTGCTGTAGCGCTAAAAGGCAAAACACCTGGACTTTGTCCAATCAAGATACGGTTCCTTTGAAATATCAGATTCACATAAAGCAGTAAAAATGTTTATGCAAGACAACTCACATGAACATTCAAGTTATTGCCATAATTTCAGCAAAAATATACCATTACTAAAAGCTTAGAACTACAATATCATCAGTCAACCGGTCCAATGAAACAATAAATGCATGCACATGGTATCAAGAAATACTAATACAGTAAAGCGAAAGAAATTAGACGAATGTAATCAAGATGTCTAACCTGTTGTTTTTAATGCAATATACAATGCATTGAAAGCTTAAAGCACAATGTCATCAATCAACATGTATGAATTAAGTTGACTATAAATTCAGTACTCAATGCTCCTATGCAAGTGCAATACTAGCATGATAGGATAAGCCACAAAAAAGTTGCACCTAAGATGCCTAACCTGAGGCTTTCTGCCCAGGCCCTCTTTGTCTGTTTGTGCTCTTTTTCACTTGACTTGTTCTTACAACATGTCTGCCAGGTGCCTCAGCAATATTTCCTTTTCTTTGCATGTTCAGTTTCATATCAACTCTGCTTTGCTGCAAATAGGAATAGACAGATTAAATACATTATCCCAGTACCTAAGCTCTATTATCAACATAAGCTTCAATATTCAAGAAAAAAAAACTAAGACCCAAAACTTTAGGCAATAAGTGATTGACAACTGATAATCAGACAATCATTATATATAGAGAACAAGTTTCGTTTATAATGAAAATGGAGATACTAAAAATAGTCAAAGAAAAGGGATAGCAAAAATTGTGTTCTATATTGCTTTACTGCATGATAATGAGCATTCTTATTGCCCCAAAACAACTAACTTATTGTGTTGGGATACATGTAAATTGTAACACAACCTCAGTCCCTTCCTAACTGTTTATTTAGCTTACTATAGAGTAGAGGGGAAACAAATGTTAATAAAGATATATCAGAAAAAATTATTGCAGTGAAACAGGCAAGAGGTGAAATCTTGAACAAACTACGTAAAATTCATAGATGATACATGAGCACGTGTACATTTTATAAATGTTCACATGCTAAACAACACTCAAAGTCAATATAATGAATGGTAATGGTCATAGGCCTACACTCATAAATCAATATCTTATAATTGAAGGTAATGTAGATGTGATATATTAGACAAGATACCGAATGAGGTCTTTTGAGTGAAGTTGGGTGTAATGCCTATAACAACAAAATTGAGAGGGAAGATTCCGTTGGTTTGAGCATGCTCATAGTAGGCAATTGTTGCCACTGATGAGAAGGGTAGAGAGCGTAATGGTTGATGGGGTGAGAAGTAGGCATGGAAATGAGACCCGCCCCATTGGGGACCCGGTGCACCGGCCCCAATGGGGCCAAGGATTCCCCACAAAACCGGCGAGCAGGGATAGGGGCGGGGATCCCCAAGAGTTAAAAATTGGGATGGGGACGGTAACGTGATCCACGACCTGCCCCGTCCCCATATATTATATGCTTATTTTTTAATATATTGTATATTTATTATGAATATATTATTTATAACGAATTAGATATAGTATATTTTACATCTATAAAGAGTATTTTAACCTTTCTTCTTATATACATTTTTTTCTAACTTGTTTTACTTTTTTAGATAAAAAACATGGAGAGCTGAAAGCGTTTGATCAAACAATTATGTATGATGTGACTTTGTTAACATATGAATATCTGATACTCCATAAAAGCAAAATTTTGGAAATATTGTGAGATTTAAACATAGAGCATTTGGGATTGAGTGCGGTCTTTAACACATTTGATTTAAAATATCTCACATAAACGGGAAAAAGCTCTTTCTTCCCCATTGGAGATGGGGATGGGAATGTGATCATATTCCAACGGGGGCAAGGACGGGGATGGTAACAAAGATTGGAGACAGGGATAGAGATTGGGGTCCCCGCCCCATTCCCATGCCTAGTGAGGAGGTGGGCAGCTGAGGAGGACATGAGATGAACAACTGAGACTAGACATGGCGGCTTTTGGCATTTTCCTAAGACATGACCTCAAATAGGAGTTTGTGGAGATATAAGATTAAGGTAGCATATTTTGTGCAAGGACTTGTAGGTAACCTAGATGGGTTAGGGGGGTAGAGAGCAGACAGTCGGGAATCTAAAACCTATGGTAGCCAGTAGGTAGGTGAAAAAGATTGCATGTTGTTTATGTGGTTACACTTCGGAAAAGATGGTTTGATCTAACTATTGCAAGAAGTGGCATCATGATGGTCATCCAAATGAAGATTTACGTTCAAGTGCGGCCTCCACAAGCTCAAGTTACCACTTCTGATACACAGGACACTCCCCTTGGTTTCTCTGGTGTCCAAAATGTGACTTTAGCACAAATCAAGTAAGTTATTTGTTTGCTTCATTGAACGTGTAACATCATCAATTGTTGATACTTATGCTTCCGACCAAATGATAATTAACAAGTATAGCTACATCACCTAAAACCCTCCCACGGTCCCACCATCCCTTGCTAAGATCGTCACACAAGTCTTTTTAATCCTATTGTTGCTCTAAGACTAACTAAATGTTCAATGAATTTACATTTTCTTCCATCTTACGTGTAACCACTTTTCTTGCAAATTTAATATTTATAAGCAACTTAGAAACAGTTGAACTCTAGTATAATGTTCCTTCTCGCAATACCATTCACAAGTTAGGGACAAAATAACTAACTAGCATCATGCCTAAGTATGAAGGGCTTGCTAATGCATTAAATAAGGTCATTCTTTGTAGGTTAGGGCTTCTTTCTGTTAGAACTTCAAAAACTTAGTTATAAATTTCGGTTTATGTCAACTTTTATGTTAGTTAGTTAGTTGTTGAAGCATAATGCTTCATCAACTCACTGATGTTGTAGCAAGTGGTTTCCCTTATATGCCATCATGGTGTACCCTATTTCTCTACAACATTTGACCGTTATCACACTTCAAAATGCAAATATTCTTGTTCAAAATTCAAATTATGAATGGTGGAGCTATGTTAATCCCCACTTTCCCATGACATACCTATTTAAGTAATACGATACAAGAACCATGTACATATTTATGGATAATTAGACTGTGCCGTTATCACACACATATTAATGTGGTCCCCACTCAAGAACCACAACTTTCATTATTAAGTAAAAGAATAAAAGCATCAACTCAAGTTTGTAGCCCAACCCTAAACCAAAACTTTAAAGCACCATGTACACCCATTAATCAACTCTAACTTCTCCATTGCAGTCTTTCTCATACCAGGCAATATGGTCATGTGCCTTTGTTAGACTGTTTTATTTATACTTGACAAATTGTGTATGTGTGTTGTGAGTTTCTTGAAGTAGTGCCTTCTAATTACACATCCCCCTCTTATGAGCAACAAAAACCACTCCATGAAAAGTTTGCCCCTCCTATATGGGGAAAGTATTGGTTATAAAATGTGACACAATAATTGATGAGGTTTATTGATTAAAAATGTTGCATGACACTCTCTCTTTCCCCTTTCGGTTGTATGTGTATGAGAGAAAACATCATGTAATCATTTTCAACAATTCTCAGAGATTATGCCTACAGTGCTACTAAGAGCAGGAGATTCCGTCTGTTGTATTTGTATCATATTATCAAGATGACATCTTAATAATCTCGAAACAAATGTTCTCTTTCACGTGGGTTGGACCATATGATTTTTCCCGAGCTTTTCGGTTCTATATGCATCACATATACATACACAATGAAAAGTAGCATAACCACAAAAATTAGGGTTTCACAAATAATACCCATACTTATGTATTGATTGGTTTAGAATTATTAATTACCATCCACAAATCGAATGAACGAATTAAACATAGAAAAGCAAGAACTTAATCTGTAATCACTGAAAAGTTAACAACGTAATAAATCCATACAATAATAACTGCAGAAGTTATCATCATCCAAAAAACAGCGAAGTATATAATTCGGCATCAGATTAAATCGACTTGAACGAATTTAAATTCCCTGGGATCGAACGATTAATTGAACAAAAACTTGAATTTGTTTGCGAAATGAAACAACAAGTATCAATTGAACTACAAAGATGAATTAAGCAAATTAGATCCATATAAACAGGGATGAACTTGTATGTTGTATAACGCATCCAAATTTCACGCACCTCATATGAACAGACGGAAGCTTTGTTAATCGGATAATCGACGGAGTCTCTGAAACCGAATTGTTTGAAAAGAGGGAGATGGTGTCGAATGGCGGGAGCTCGATGTTAATTCAAGGAGTTCCAAATTTCAATTGGAACAGAATAGTTAAACGGATTTTGCTATTTATTAAATAGTAAATTACAGTTTTGGTCCCTCTAGTTGGTCAATCTTGCTGTATTTCGTCCCTACTGTTTATTTGTTCCAATTTTGCAATCATGATTTGCCATTTTGCTTTGTTTTGTACTCTCCTACTAACGATTGCTAATGTCATTTCGTTATGTAAGAAACATACTAGTCGTTAGAAATATACTAGTCATTTTTCATTTTCTCGCTTTTCTAGCGAGATAAAGTGAGTGCGTGTGTATATATATGTAAGAGTCAAGTACATTCTTGGTTCTTTATTTATGGTTGCTTTATAGTTCGGTCCCCAAAATTCATAAAGGACATTAGTGGTCCATTGTGTTTTGTAGCATAAACTAGTCTTTATACTTAACACCGTTAGAAGAGCTCCATTAAATGCATTATGTCCCCTCACTTGAGGGGCAAATTTGTCATTTTACTCTTTCTTTTTATTTTCATTTAATAAATAAAAGTTAAATAATCTTAAATAAATAAAAAATTATTAGAAGATAATTAAATCTCTCTCCCTCGTATATGAGTGCAACAAATGACAAGATCCCCTCTGGTGGCATTGTTTCTCCGACAACCCAACCTACTGCACCATTCTTTGGCAAATCAAAGAACGAAACTAACTCCCCTATGTGCACTACCTATTAGATTCAAGTTTGGAAATCAAAGGTGTTGGAATTAAAATTGTATTCAAGTCCTTATGTTGTAATTGTTTTACTCTGTAGATCCCAGATCAAGTCACAATCATACAAACAATAAAGAACACAAGAATATGAATTGAATCAGTCGACTGTTGTATTGATGTATTATCAATTCTCTCTTTACAATGCGTTTTCTTGTCTATTACAATATGCGCAACTAACTGAACTAACCTACAAACACTATTTATACTCTTATTACAAAGCATATTAACATACAGAGTAAAACAGTTAAGCACAAGGACTTGAATACAATTATAGTTCTAACAATCTCCCCCTTTGGATTCAAGTCCAAAAACAATATTCTTCGTATCTCTAGGCTTTAGCAATAATCTTCGGCACGTATCCATTCAGATGTCTTCAAGAAGCTTTGACTTTGACTTTTAAGCATTTGAAGTCTTTGTGATTCTTGGCTTTCTTTCATCTTCAGATCAACAGCTTCACTTTATTAGATTTGATCTTTCTCAGCTTTTGAACAATCTCCCCTTATACTTGATAACGTCTCCTTTGAACTTTCTTGGCCACTTTTGTACAATCCCCCCTGTAGAATTACTTTAGCTCAACAACTTTGAATAATATCCCCTATCATTTGTAATCTCCCCCTATACATGTAATCTCACTTTAGCACAACACTTTTGAATAATCTCCCCCAATAATTCATAACACCATGCTTGGAATATTCTTTGAATCTCCCCCTTTATATATGTCATTTGTAATCAATCGCATCTCCCCTTTGTATCTTCTTGAATTATCTCCCTTAAGCACTTTCCATTTTCCACGTATATCTCCTATGTATATTCTCTTTTAATCTCATCATCTCCCAATCATCTTTTAATCTCATCATCTTCTCCGCCTTAACCATGTCATTTCCCCCTTATGATGTTAATGACGAACAGGAGCATCATACCAACAATTAGACCAGCAAGACAAATGAATGTAACAAGGTGAAGTTCATGCCGTCCATTCATATAAGTATAAACAAATCTTTTCAAATTCGCTTATGTATTGTTTAATGAATGAATTCATTCCATAATATATTCAAGAAATTCATATTCAACTTATGAGTATGTTTTCAATCTTTTTATTCAAATATTGGTCTGTAAATATAATAGATATAATTTTATGCAACTGATACACTTTGAATATGAGACTTTTTGATGTTCATCTCACCAGGATTTTCATTCAATCACTTATAGCTTAAAGAAGCATATATCTGAATGTTGTGACAGACTAACAAACATTATGTGAAATTTGTGTAGTGTAGAAAGATAAAGCAACAAATGCTTCAAAATAAGCTCAAATTAATAAGTTGTGTGGTCTACACAAATTTATCAAACTTAATGTGATCAAAGAAATTTGAAGGGGGACATATATTCTTCTTTCTTCAATATCAGCAATCTCTAAATGAGAAACCGATAGATTGTGAGTTGCTTGTCCCATGTCTTATTGAAACAATTATATTTTGAGAGATAACTGAGCAGTTGATGGGGTATTAAACAAGAGTTGACATGGACTTTGTCTTTTTCAACATTAATAATTGAGAAATAATATATTGTGTGGTTTGCCCGAATTATAATAAGCTGGATCAGGATTTTGATATTCTTTTAATCATGTGCACAACTCATAACCCTCATTTAGTTCTTTTAGTTCACCATTACTACCCCTCTCTTTTTCATTTTAAGCTCAGCACACATACTCATTTTCCATTTTTAGCTCACTTCTCAATATGGTTGTCCTCTTTAGGGTAGGGCTTTGATTTTGATAGTCCATAGAGGTTATATTTGTATAAACTCTTATTCCCACCTAAGATATTACCAGTAAGCATAGTGAAACAACTTTAATGTATGAAAATAAGCTTAGAAACTTTGATGTATCTTTGATATTGAACAAATTTAATCAAAAATTTATTTCAGATAAGCACATGATGTGGAAAAAATCAATGAATGATTCAAAGCTCAAATATTTGTACGAACAAAAATACATATTTGTCTTTCAAAGAATGATGAAATACTTGACAATGAAAAATCAATTAACGACTTATCAGAAATCAACAAAATGAATACAAACCAGCGTATTATCATCGAAAAATGAATTTTGCACTTTTAGAGACATGATAATAACAATTTGAAGAAAAGCTGAATCAGGTGTTAGAATCATGCATGAAGAGAAATGCGCAGTATTAACTCTAAAATACACCTGATCATAGATAGTACTCATTTCATACAAAAATTCAAATGAAAATAATTTAATGTTAATCCTCTCTCTCAACAATTTGATGATGATCCTTTTATCTATTGAAAAGTATAAACTCTGTCAGTTTCAACGATCCTCACTAAGTCTTTTTAGTGGTCGCTGAACATGTATTGTAATTCGTTCAGAGACCGATATACTTCAAGAAGGCAAAACTCACACCACAGATCCTTCAGCGATGCCGAATACAGAAGCTAAAGATTAGAGACCAGCAAGTTCGTGATCTAAAGCGATTTTCAGTGATAACAAGTTCGTCTACACAAGTGTGAAGTCTGCACAAGATTCAGCGAACATTGATGAGACCTTCAACGTCATTCCAATGTTCAACAATCAAATGAATCTTGTCAAACAATATTAGTTTTTGTATTGTCCTTCTGCACACAGAGGACAAACCTATATCTTTCTAAGTATTGTACAATACAGAGCCACTCATTTGACTCTAAACGTGCTTACCTACTTTATGAAGTAGGACTATTCATTTACATCCAAAAGATTGTATACTGTAACAAATGACAAGTTTTCCTCTAAAAGCTTGCCACGTGTCCCATACCTTCTGAATTGAATTTAATACAATGGATATAAATAACTGAGTGGTTCTCCTCACAGTTATCATCTTCCTCACACAAACTTACCCAATAAGTTACTTCTTTTTCTACTATATGTCTAAAGAGAAAGACCCATTTTAACAAGTGAAGAGCATATTTCATCTTACCTTGTTTCTTGTAGAAGTCTTTTCTTATTGTTATTTGTATTTTATGTGTATCTTATATTGTTTAGATAGTTTACGTATCCTAACACTTCTACAAACAATCTGTAAAAATTGTATTGATCTTCTTTATCAATATATAATTTTTAAAAGTAAAAGTTATTGTGTTTGTATTCATTATCCCCTTATATAAATTGTTACCTAAAAACTCTTGTAGATCCGGCCGGGACCAACAAGTGATATCAGAGTAGTGTTTGCTTTTTGGGTTGTATTGTTGTTTTATTGTCTCTCCTTATATATATAATTTATTCATTTCAAAATGGCTTTACACACTAGCACCAACTTCACGATAATGGCTCTCTTGCTAAGAACACACAGTAGAGTGTTTAAAAAATAACTCTCATAATTGCTTTGAGCTCTTTTAAGTACAAGAAGATATATTCTCTCAAAAAGAGTACAAAACCCTAGAAAGAAACTTCTATTTGTAGCCTACAAAAGGAAAGTCAACACTTTCTCCAATAGATGATCTCCACGTGTAAAAAGAAATAATTTCTTCTTGTATACGTGGCAGGCTTTGATAAGCAAAGGTCTTGAAAGATATTCAGAAGAACATAACGCTTTATAGAGTTGGACCAAATGCTCTGCATGCATGGTGCAGAGGCTCTATATGTGACAGATCCCAGTTCTCTCGAATTGTGAATAGACGTAAGAAATGTAGAGTAGAGTGTAGATCTCAGTCAAGTCACATTTAATCAATCAAGAACACAATATATGTAGAATTAAGAGTTTGTTGGATGTCTCACATTCACATTCAATAACTCTCTCTCTCTCTCTCTCTCTCTCTCTCTCTCTCTCTAAAAGCTCTTTTTACAACAAGATGCTCTTGTCTCTTGAAAAACTTACAACTCTCAAAATCTAACTACAAAATAACTAAGCAAAACTATTTGTACCTGGAGGTTATAAAGTCAACCTCTAAGCACTTATTACAAAGTCAAACTAAAATATAAAGTAAAACATATAAAGCACAAGGACTTGAATACATTTTATAATTTTAACAATCCCGCCCTTTTGGATTCAAGTCCAGAAAAAAAATATTGTCTTCAGATCTTCAGGCTTTACCAAATAAATCTTCAAAAGTAACCTTCAGTACAAATCCATTCAAATATCTTCCAGATGCTTTGACTTTGACTCTAAGCACTTGAAATCTTAAAAAACTTGAAATTTTAACTTTTCGACTTTTCATTGAGATAAGTTCTTGATACTTAAAA